TCGGTGCACATCTGATCATTGGCCCTTAGTGCTGAACACTTTATTGACCTTATAAAGAAAGCCCCCTTTTAGACTGGAAAAATTATGGGCCTTACACAAGGACTTCACCAAAAATGTAGCTGGTTGGTGGGAGGAATGTAATGTGGAGGGCTGGGCTGGTTTCAGGCTGTTACAGAAGCTAAAGTTCATAAAAAGGAAGTTAAAGGTGTGGGGAAAAGAGGAGTTCAAAGCCCTTGAGGAGGAAAAAAGGCTTATTATTTCTGAGCTGGGAGTTTTAGATACGAAGGAACAAAATGGCTCTCTAGAAGAATCAGGGAGAGAAAGAAGAACTGATTTGAGGAAGGAGATGGCTGAAGGAAGGAAGATAATAGCTCCAGATTCTTCTATGTCTATTCTTCGGGAAGACGCAGGAAAAATCTCAACTCTATGTTGAAAGTGGGCTAAAGGGAAGTGGAGAATTCTGAGGAGATTACAGATGCTTTTCTTTCTTTCTTTAGAAACTGTAAAGAGACTGGGCCGAATGGGTCCTAGTATCTTCTCTTGTAATATTTTTTCTATTTTCCTGTTAGCTAATGGGCCTCTCTTAATGGGCCTGTTATTTATTTTTGTTTGATCTCTTTATGTTACTGGCTAGCTGGCCGCCCACTTAAGGGCATACTTGTAATTATTTTAACATTAATTTTAGTAAATAGGATCATTCAAACCTTTCTTCTTCTTCCTCCTCTTTTCTCCATCTTCTTATCTTGTACTGCTGCTCTTACTTTTCTTCCTCCTTTTTCTCTCTAATTTTTCAAGTTTACACCTATTTTTGAGGATAGAGCAAGTTTCTTTCTTCCTTCTTTTCTTCTTCCTCTTTTCCCATACACCCTTAGATTAAGAGAGTGTATGGAGAGATAGGTTCTCTATAGCTCAGATGATCTTTGGCCTAGTTGGTAGAGGGTTTGGAGAGTTTAAATCTGGCTGGATATTGCCAAGAAGTGGTGCTGTTCTGTTGCTGCCCAAAACCCTAGCCGATTAGAGATTTTTGAAGGTACAGGTAAAGGTGAAGCTTTGGGTGTGGTGCTCTATGCTTGGGAGGTGTCTTTTGACTCCTAAAGGAGGGCGGTTCAGGTTTGGAAGAGATTGGGAAGCTTTGGTAGGAGCAGCTGCATCTTCTCTCTTCCTCCCTAACAGTTGGACGGAGTAAAACCCTAGTTTTCAAGCATCTGGGTTTTGGTTTGCCTTCAAGTAAGTTTATATAGACCAAATTTCTGGTTCTTTGATTTTCGTTTGATTAATGGAGCCATAYGGAAGTGAGTTCAAGCAAGTACCAGTTTCCGGCCTTGGCTCGGTAGATTCCGTTTTTACTGGTGTGACCACAATCAATCTAGATGGGACAAATTATCTTGCTTGGGCACAGTCTATAAGAATTTATGTCTGTAGTAGAGGAAAACACAGGTATCTCACAGGTAGTAAAGTGAAACCTGAAGAGACAGACCCTGAATTTGAGAAATGGATGTAGGAGAACTATACAGTCATTGGATGGTTGGTCAACTCTATGCAACCTCATATAAGTCAGCATTATCTCTGGATGTCTTCGGCTAAGGAGATATGGGACAATGTTACTGAGACCTATTCACAGAAGTTGAAAAGTGACGTGAAGAACCTAAGACAAGGGGAGAAGAGTGTAGCAATCTACTATTCTATATTGAAATCCCTATGGCAAGAAATTGATGTTATGGAGACAATTGTATGGGAGAGTAAGAATGATGCTTAAATGTATAGGAAGTTGGTGGAGAGAAATTGGGTGTTTGAAGTTCTTACTGGACTTGACCCTGAGTTTGACATCATTAGGCAAAATATCCTGGCCAAAGATGAGGTCACTCTTTCTCAGGCATACGCTATGATAAGCAGTGAGGAGAGTAGGCGGCGGGTTCAGTTACAAAGTCCACCTACAGAATACTTTGCACATGCTGGAATAAAGCCAAAGGGTCCTACTGAGAAAAAGGAACAAATATGTGAATATTGCAAGAAACCGAGGCATACAAAGGACACTTGCTGGAAGCTTCATCCTGAGCTTCTTCCTGATAGGTTTAAGAATAACAACAGTTCTAA